AGCAAAATATTCACACCTCTTTTCAGATATAAATCCAAATCTTTCTTTTTTTTTCATAAAAATCAACTTTCCTTTAGCTTTAGAAAATATCCTAGAAACACCTGCAATTTTCTCCATTGCCCCAGGCAAACAAGGTCCCATCCTTACTAAAGGTATACATTTTGCAGTTTTTCCCAGATTCCCTTGGAAATACAGTGCTTTCTGTAAAATGTGGTGGGCCATTCACCATGTACAGTCCCTCTGATCCTCTTACTGTCAACAGTGGCGTGGAGGGCGCCATCTTATCCCGGAAAAAGTACGATTTCTTTTTTAAGATTATTGTAATTTTCCTTGAAAAGATCTTTGACTTTCTTATTTAGATTAATTCCAAGATATTTCATTTTCCTCAGTGCTATTGTAAAAGGTATTGTTTGTTTAATTTCTCTCTCAGTGTGTTTGTTATCTGTGTAGAGAAATGCTGTTGACTTTTGGGTATTGACTTTGTATCCTGCTATGCTACTGAATTTGTGTATCAATTCTAGTAGCTTCTTGGTGGAGTTTTTTGGGTCTTCCAAGTAAAGTATCATGTCATCTGCAAATAATAACAATTTAACTTCTTCTTTACCTATTCTTACTCCTTTTATTTCTCTCTCTTGTCTAATGGCTGTAGCTAATGATTCTAGAACTATATTGAATGGGGTGATAGAAGACATCCTTGTCTTGTACCAGATCTGAGAGTAAAAGATTTCAATTTTTCCCCATTTAGAAGTATGTTAGCTGTTGTGTTGTTATAGATGGCTTTTATCATATTGAAGTAGAGGCCATCTATTCCAGTTTTCTGTAGGACTTTGAACATGAATGAGTGTTGGACTTTGTCAAAAGCCTTTTCTGCATCAATTGAAATGATCATGTGGTTTTTAGATTTGGCTCTATTGATATAATGTATTACATTTATAGATTTGTGTATATTGAACCATCCTTGCATGCCTGGATGAATCCTACCTGGTCATGGTGTATGATCATCTTGATGATTTGCTGTATTCTGTTTGCTAGGATTTTAATGAGGATTTTTGCATCTATGTTTATTAGGGAGATTGGCCTGTAGTTCTCTTTTTTATTTGCATCTTTCTCTGGTTTTGGTGTCAGTATAATACCTCCAGGAATGATTTTGGGAAGATTGCTTCCTTTTCAATTTCATTGCAGAGTTTGAGGATAATTATAAAGTCCATAAATTTCTTGTAGAATTCAGCTGTGAATCCATCAGGACCTGCACTTTTCTGTGTTGGTAGGTTTTTTTTTTTATTACATTTCATGTTTCATTGGCTGTTACTGGGTTATTGAGAGTGGTTATATCTTCTTGATTCAGTTTTTGTAATTTGTACCTTTCTAGAAATCTGTCTATTTCTTCTGTGTCTTGTATTGTGTGAAAGTAAAGATTCTCAAAGTAGCTATTGATAATCTTCTGGATTTCCACTGGGTCTGTGTTAATTACACCCTTTTCATGCCTTATTGCTTGTATTTGAATTTTTTCTTTCTTCTTTTAGATGAAAGGTTTATCAATTTTATTTAATCTTTTAAAGAACCAGCCTTTTGATTTGTTAATTTTTTGAACTGTTTTCTTCATCTCAATTGAATTAATTTCTGCTCTACTCTTCATGATTTCTTCCCATCTTTGGACTCTTAGTTTGGTTTGCTCTTCCTTTTCTAGATGTTGGAGGTGCAATATAAGGTGTTTATTTGTTCCTGTTTTGTTTTCCTAATGTGTGAGTTCATAGGTATAAGTTTCCCTCTGAGAACTGCTTTCATCACATCCCATAAGTTCCGATATGTTGTGCTTGAATTTTCATTGAATTGTCTTAATTTCTTGTTTAATTTCATCTGTGACCCATTGGTTGCGTAGTAGAGTTTTGTTTAATTTCCTTGTATTTAGGGTTTTTTTTCTGGTTTCTTTTGCCATTTATTTCCAGTTTCATTGCACTGTGGTCAGACAGTATGCATGGGATAATTTCTGTTTTCTTGCATATACTTAAGCATGACCTATGGACTAGTATATGGTCTGTTTTAGAAAATGACCCATGTGCAGCTGAAAAGAATGTGTATTCAGCTGTTTTTGGATGGAACACTGTATATGTCCCCTAAGTCCATTTGTTCCAAGCTCTGGTTCAGTTCTGCTACTTCTTTCCTAGTTTTTTGTCTGCTTTACCTGTCTCTTTGGGATAAAGGGGTGTTAAGGTCTCCTGTTAAGATTGTGGTATTGGATATTAGACTTTTCATATCCATTAAGATTTGTCTTATATCGTTGGGTGCTCCCGTGTTAGGTGCATACATATTTATGAGTGTTACCTCTTCCTCTTGAATTTTCCCTAACCATTATATAGTGGCCTTCTTTATTTCACTTGAACATTCTTGGTTTGAAGTTGAGACTGTCTGAGAATAGGATTGCTACCCCTGCTTTTTTCTTAGATGCTGAGGTGTGTAGTGTTGTTTTCCATCCTTTGACTTTCAGCCTATGAATGTCTTTATAAGTTAAGTCTGTTTCTTGTGTATAGCAGATTGTTGGATTTTGTTTCTCAATCCACTGTGCCAGTTTGTTTCTTTCAGTTGGTGAATTGAGTCCATTTACATTGATGGTTATAATTGAGACGTATGGACTTACAATCAACATGTTATTTACCTGTTGTTGTTTACTACTTTTTCTCCCGTTTTTAATTGTTTGCCCTATTTAGTTGGTTCCTTCTGTTCTCATTGGTGGAATTCCGATCATTTTGGTCCCTCTCTAGAACATCTTTCAAGTCGTCTGTGTAGGGTTGGCTTTGTCATCGTAAAATTCTTTAACTGTTCTTTGTCATGGAAATATTTTACTTCTCCATCAAACTTGAAAGAGAGTTTTGCAGGATAGAGTAGTCTGGGCTGGAATTTGTTTTCATAGAGGACTTGGAGTACTCTGCTCCATGCTCTTCTTGCCTTCATGATTTATAAAGAGAGAAGTTGGCTGTAATTCTGATGGGTTTTCCTTTGAATGTAATCTGCTTCTTTTCTCTAGCAGCTTCCAGTATATTATTCTTGAGCTGGATTTCTGGGATCTTGATTATTATATGTCTCAACTGTGTGTTTTTAATTGGGTTGAAGTTGTTTGGCATTCTGTATGCTTCAGTTACCTGGATGTCAGATTGTTTCCTCATATTTGGGAAGTTTTCTGCTATTACTTCTGCCCATATTTTTGATATTCTTTCTTTCTTTCTTTTTTTTTTTTTTTTTCAAACTGGGGGTTGAACTCAGGACCTTGAGCTTGCCAGGCAAGTGCTTATACTACTGAGCTATCTCCCCGGCCTCAAACAATATTGTTTGTTTGTTTGTTTGTTTGTTTGTTTATTTATTTATTTATTTATTTTGTGGAACCAGGCATAGAACTCAGACCCTTGTGCTTGCCAGGGAAGCACTTATTCTACTGAGCCATCTCCCTGGCCCCTAAATTTTTTTTGGCAGAACCGGGGATTGAACGCAGGCCTTTGCCCTTGCCAGGGAAGCGATTATTCTACTGAGCCATCTCCTCTGCCCCATATTTTTTTAATATCATTTGTATTGACTCTTTCTTTCTCTTTGATACCTATTAGTCTCACATTGTTCACCTTTGCATCATCCTGCAGGTGATGGATTATTCTTTCCTGCATCCTAGTTGTTTTTAAGAGATACTTTCTTACCTTTTCACTAGCTGCACCAGCGTCTTCAGGATCTGAAACTCTGTCTTCACTTTCACTTAAACGGTTTTGCAAGCTTGTGATTGAGATTTTAAGTTCTTCTATATCTCTTTGACTCTGCTTCAAGTGATCTGTTTCTTTCCTGTATTGCTTATTGAAGGAATCCATCATTTTTCTAATCTCCTCTATTTTTTTTTTTAATCAATGTCTTCTTTAGAAGCAGTTATTGTTTTACTGCAGTTTTTTTCAGATCCAGTTTCCTCCATGTTTCTGCATTTGATTCTTCACTTCAGATGCGGTTATTTCAGACACTTTAAATTTTTGATCTCAGTTCGTCTATAACTTTTTGCAGTTTTTTCTTTATTTCAGATGCTATTGATTCATTGATTTCTGCTTTGTGATTCCCATTTTCTTCTGTTCTAGTGTCCTCTGCACTTGTTATGGGTGGGCATGGGGTCTGAGATTGCATTTTGCTCATTCTCGTCATTTTGTGTAGCACTGTCCTCTGACCTTTGCGATAGAGCTTTGGTGCAGTTATAACTTAGCACCTACTGAAATTTGGGTGCAGATCTACAAAGTTTGAAATTATCCAGCTGTGCCTGGCTTTGGTCTGGCTGCTGTGCTCAACTCCTTCCTGCTTCAGCCCTTGGGAGAGAACCTCTTGTGGCCCTCTGGGAAGATGTTCTGCACCTAGACTGGCTGGGTGGTTCTGTCCCCTACTCTCTCTACAGGGACTGCAGCTGCAGAGTTTCACCCCAGACCTCTATGTCAGGCCTGATCTGGGACTGAAGGGGACAAGGGGGCATAGGGGAGAGGGGAAGCTTTCCCACACTCTTGCCCGACCTGGGTTTGGGCTGGATAGGGTTCCCGAGAACGCAGCAGAAGTTCTCACTCACTGGGCCATTGTGGGGTGGCCTGTGCTCCGGAGTAGTGGGGGGTCCCAAGGGTGCAGCCGAAGGTCTCACTCACGAGTCGTGCCTGGGTTTGGACTGGAGAGGTCCTGCGAGAGCAGGGTAGCCATAAGCTCTCCCACACACTCGGTGGGCCTGGGCTTGGGCTTCTGAGTGGACGTCTTTGATGACTGTATACAAGCAGGTTGTGCTGTTCCTGACAAGAAAGACTGGGGGCTCCCTGCAGGTGGAGGTGGCTGCATTGCATGCCTTCTGCCCTTCCTCTGGACTTGGTCTTCCTGTAGACACTCACCACACAAGCAGCCGGTGTAGACCAGACCTTGCTCCAGCTGGTCCATCTGCTGTATGAACATACAGGGTGCCTCTGTGCACAAACCATTGTACTGACTTGGGCCTCTATTTCTCCCCACAGTGGAGGCAGTGCTGACCTCACTGGGATGAGGGACCCACTCCAGGTCCTGGAAGGCGTGGTGGCAGCTGTGCATGCCAGTGCTGACATGGGGTAAGGCAGGCGTAGTCACCTCTCTTGGACCAGGTCTCTAGGCCTCTGGGCTGAGTGGTGTGGGCAGCATTGGCACGTGAGGGCTGAGGGCACCCTGGGGTGAGGGTGGGAGCTGCATGTCTGAAGCCTGTGGCCCCACCTGCATACTGGGCTGCAGCTGGAGCAAGACCTGTTCCCTAACAGCACAGTGTCAACATGTACGAATTAACTACATTAGCTTAACAGTTTCTAGAGTTTGTGTATTTCGTGTCTGTCTGTCTGTCTGTCTGTCTTTCTTTCTTTCTTTCTTTCTTTCTTTTTAATAAAAGCTTTATAAAAACTGGCCATGTTGGTGCACACCCTTAAACCCAGTAGTCAAGAGGCTGAGGCAGGAAGATGGAAAGCTCAAGTCCAGCTTGAACTGCACAGCCCAGTCTCAAAACAATAAAAAACAAAAACCTAAAAGCAAAATGAACAGCCTGCTACACTCATAGGCCTTTGGTTGGTACCACCGCCCTAGGATGTGTCCACCTCGCCCAAGTCTCAGGGTAGTGAGGGGAGCTGCAGTGTGGGGACCTGCATGGTACTACTATTAGGGTTCAGGCTGGGGCTTGTAGGCTCCCCCCACCTGCTGCACTCACTCTGTGCACCTGGATCCCACAGGTCAGTGCTCCAGCCCCTCTTTCTGTGGTCCTACAACTGGGGCATAGCCAGGTGGAGACTGCTGCCTGGAGGTTGGCCTCATGAGCCCATGCTGGCTACAGCGGCTGCTTCCCACTGAGTGTGCGCTATGTGCCACACACTGCGCACGGTGCTTGCTGTACATCCACGGGCCTCCGTCTGCTCACCTAGGGAGTGGGACACTGACAGTCCTGACTCTGTCCAGAGTTCAGGGAAAGGACAGGCCAGGGAACAGTGAGGTCATTTCATGACCCCAGCTGTCTGGTCACCTTGCAAGGAACACAAGCCCCACAAATATTGTGCGTTTGTGTTTCTTATTCACCATTCCTTCCAGGTTTTCATAAATGTTGAGAACTTAACAAATAGCTTTGCAAATTTCTATTTCTGCCAGTTGTCTGCATCATATAATTTCCTTTATTCCTGAATAAGGACAATGAAGTGTCTTTTAATTTAAATGGCCATAAAGGGCTGGGGAGATAGCTCAGGTGTCTAAGTGCCTGCCTAGCAGGAATCCTGGGTTTGATCCCTGGTACTGCATGTCATGCTGGCCCTGTGTCATGCTGGCCACTGAGACCTGGGCATGGTGGTGCATGCCTATAATCCCAGCAATGGGAAGCTGAGACAGGAGGATCACTATGAGTTCAAGCTGCATAGCAAGACTCTACCAAATAAATAAATAAATAAATAATTTTAAAAAATGACCATAAAATAGCACCCAACAAGTATATTATATAATACATACTAAGAGGCATACTCAGGGGCATTGGAGAATTTTGTCCCTTGCAGAGTTTGAAACATGTATTCTGTTAGCCTAGGAATTTGGTTTTAGCTAAGTTGGTATGGGACTCGGTTTTGGGGGATTCATTGCAAACAGCCTTGTGGAGATGTAACAACCAGACCAGGATCATGGAGTGCCTTATCCAGATCCCAGGTGGAGGGTAGATCACCATTGTGCCACACACAGGTGTAATCTGAGGCCATGTCATCAAGCAGGTTAGTGCCCTAGGTAGCCCTCACAGGACAGAGAAAAGGAGGCAGACACCAGCTGAGGAGCCAAGCCCCTTGCCCTTCTGACTTCAGACTGCACTTGTGTTCTAGCCATACATTCATGTTTTACATTTAGGGTGGTGTGAAAGTGGATACTGCAACAAGGGGTGAACCCTAATCACAGCCCATTGGTGTGGGTCACAGCATCACCTACTGGGGCTGCTTGCAGATGGCCTGTCCTCCTCAGGGCCAGAGATATAATGTCTGTTGGCTGCAGTGACAATGTGTAAAATGACTGAAATGAACTAGAAGTAAGGCTTATTGTGTATGCACTAGCTGAGGACATACTGATTTATGTTTGTTATTTATCTAGTTAATGTAACTCTTTTTAATAGGGTACTGTGTAAAATAAAATCCACTCATTTACACAGTTGTTAAATGCCTAATGTGGCTGTAAGCCATTTAAAAACCTGTACTTTTCCTCTCAAAATAAAGCCACCCAGCAAGCAGGTACCCATTCATTCAAACACTTAAGGAGACCTTGAGACTTTCTACCCTCCCTCACTGTCACCTCACAGGGAGCAGCTGGTGACCCCTGAGGACCTGCTGGAGTGGCTGCGGCCCTTCTGTGCAGATGAGGCGCTCCCTGTGCAGCCCCGTGTCCGTGTGCTGCAGGTTTTGGAGCAGTCCTGCCACCTGACGGAGGAGGACAGCAGGCTGCTGGTGTTCTTCCGGACGGAGGCTATACTCAAGGCTGCCTGGCCTGGAAGGCAGGTAAGGAGGGGTGCACACCTGTCATTCCAGCATTCTGGGAGGCTGAGGCAGAGGGATCCAGGTTCACGTACAGCCTGTGCAGATTGGCCTACAATGTAGTTCTGAGTAGTAGTCAGGTTCAGTGCTCAGTATTATCAAACAAATAAAACATCAGAAAGTTTCCCTGCTACCAGTGGTTAGAGGTTAGTACTGGTTGGAGGTCAGTAGCTGAGTACAAGCAATCAAGTTTCCTTTGTATGTTTGATCACAGAAGTGTGTACTAATCATGTCTCATGCACCCACCTTTATGACTTTTGTCTTCTTAGCAACTAGGACTGTTCACAAAATCCCTTACCTATGGTGGCTAGCTGTGCAGGGCAAGAAGGGCTTGCCTTCTTCCCGGTATTGTGAGAGGTATAATGTCACATCTTCGCTGTGCTGCCCTTGGTGCGCCTCAGGGTGCTCCCAGACCCCTTCAGGCATCACTGAACTTCTGTACACAGAGAGTGTAATAATCTACTGTTATCTACTATCATGCAGCTCAGGGGCAGGATAGGCCTCCCTCTGAACCCACTGAGTCCCCAGACCTATGTGCAGAGCTTAAATACACATCTCTGGAGGGAGTGGGATGTTTTGTTCTCAAGGAAAGAAAGGCTGGGGTTCTTGAAACCCGGCTCACATTGCAAACAGGTGCACCCCAAAGATAGCACTATAGCTGTATCTGGATGTCCCTCAAGCCTCATGCACTCAGTGGGGGCTTTTCAAAAGTGGGTGGCTCTGGGGGGTGTGAATATGGATTAAGGGTATGCAGTCACTGAAATAGTATGAGGATTACTTTAGCATACCTTTGGGTATGGAAAATGGAAGCCCCATAGGGGTGTGGTGGCACCAACCGGTAGACTTATAGCCTGAATGGGATAAAAGGGAAAGGGAGGCTGGCTGCTTGCTTTTTCTTGCCAGCGCTACTGTGAACTCTTTCTCCTCTGTGATGTCCCTCTGCCATGTCATCCTGCCTTAGAGCCAGTTGACTATGGACTGAAACCTCTGCACAGTGTGAGCTGACCTTTAGCTTATTGATACTGGTTATTTTCTCTCAGCAATGAGAAAAAAAATGGCTAGGACCGACAGGCTCCAAGAGTTGGTACCCTGGATGAAATGCTTCAGCACCCACAGTCGTCTTCTATTTTTATATTTCCTTCTATGAAATAAAAAAGGTAGATGCTGTTATTTATTTTTTATAGCTACAGAGACTGAGAGTCTAAAGAAGATGGATTTATCAACAATTGTTTACTCTTGCAAGATTGCAGAAATGAATAACAATGAAAGAGCCACTGTTACCTAAAATGTACTCTCACTAAGCTCCACATCCAGGCTTTGGAGATCAGTCGGCCCTGCTACAGAGCAGCCTGAGAACACGGATGTCGCAGGCTGTAGTGTAAAGCACATGCTCAGGGGAGGGTGTGTGTGTGTTTTCTCATCAGGTGTGGAGGCTGGTGTAGCATCCCTGTCTCTAGGGGAGCCTTCACTCACTCCACTTTGGAGCTTCTGGTCCTGACTCATCCTAAAATAGGCGAGCCTTCTTAATAGACTTACTGTTCAAGTGCTCAGCCTTACTCAATTTCTTCTTCCTTGAACGCTGGGGCCAGCCGGGACCAGAAGGCTGGTGTCTCTTGTGTTATGTAGCTCTGTGGACTGAAAATGTGGGGATCCAGTGGGAGCGAGGAAAAGAGTCTGACCTATCGCACTGAAGCTCTGGAACCCATACTCAACCCCTGGGTCCAAGCTCTACACAAGGAAGTGTCCCCGCTGTCACTTGTCTTAAGCTTTTTCCATGTCCAGTTGCTTGGAAAATGAATTGTTAGTTTCTATAATCTCAGTGGTCTGTCTGGTTTTTGTACTAGGAATCAAACTCAGGACCTCATGCTTGGTAGGCAGGCAGTGTACTGCTGAGCTGTATTCCCAGCCCCCATCTCAATGGTTTCTGAATATCTCTGAGGTTATAGTTTCGCCATAGCTTCACTTTTTCTGAAAACTGGCCGAGCTCGTCCTGCCAAGTTCCTTTCTCAAGACCTTTCTGGCCGACTTGGCTGTGTCTCCCTCACTCACCTGTCAAGTCTGTGCTGACGCCTCCTATTCCTTATGCTCCTCATTTCACCCATGTTTTCCTTGAGGTGGCACAAACTCTCAGACTCTAGAAAGTCTATTTTGTAGGGGCCTCAGACTCAGAAAAGTGACCTCAAACCCTCATCCTTTGTATTCCTCTCCCTTACCTTCCCTCACATGATAGCAATGACTGTGACTGTGTGGCAGCTGCTGAGCAGGTCTCTCCATTGCTTGGCCCATGTGCTCTCTGTGAAAGCCTGAGAGAATGTTTTCTTTCCATGTGACTCTCCTTAGGCACACTCTACATCATCGATCACTTTCCTCTTTGGTTCCATAATCTTGAACAGAAAATTTGGGACAACACTGAGTTAGAGGATGTTACAGTACAGGTTCCCTTATGGCCTGAGTCCTCACTGACCTTGAAAGGCTAGGGCCAAAATGTTGGCTTTCCTTGTGACCCTCCTTTTTCTCTAATTTTGGTCTGTAAACTTAGGTTGTTACCCATCCAGAAGACAAGCTTATTGTAACTACCATACAGCTTAGGCTGTTAAGCTTAACCTCAATATCTGTCTGAATATTAACCATCTTAGGCATAACATGGAACAGGTATTTTCATCAAGTATTGATATGTTGAACTTTAAGCCCCTACAGAATATGATGAAAAAACATTTAAAAATTAGAATATATTTTTTAAAATAGGCATAAAGAATCATATAATTCTTATGTTTACACATAATCATACATCTAATCATATACAACCTTGAAGCAGGACAGTCCCACAATATTCCTTTTCCTGTCTCTTGCCTTCATTCACCATCCCCTTCTTTTTGAACAGTCATCTACCTGAGAGACAGCACAGCAGCAACTGGTATGTCATGACAAGCAGCCCGTATTCAGAAGACAAGAAATGACAGGCTCTCCAAGCATGAAACTGCTATTATAGATTACTGTCTGCAGTGCAATTCTTAGTTCACAGGTATCAGTATATATAGTTAGTCAGGGTGAGAATTTTTCCAATTAACTGCTAGATTCAAAAATCTTCCGGAGATTCTCAGGATCATTGCCTGCCCATCTTCTACATATAACTGTATGGCTTGACATTGTCATGTTTCCTAGCTCTTCTACTTTCCCTGTCTTGATTAGTTAGTACTTGAGATCCTGCTTTCCTTTTACTTGTATTATACCTTTCTATTTGTGTTTCTTCTTTTAAGTTCTTATAGTAGGGAAACTATACAATATTTACGTGTCTCGTTTATTTCACTTATGAGCATATCTTCAAGTGGCATCCACTTCAATATAAAGGCTTCGAGTTTATAATTCTTAATAGCTGAATAATACTGCATTGTGTAAAAATACCATATCTTTTTCAAACATTCCTCAGGTGATGGGCATCTTGGTTGTTTCCAAGATTTGGCTATCAGAAATTGTGCTGCTATAAACATAGGCACACATATATCCCTATGATATGATGTTTTCAGATCCTCCGGGAAAATTCTCAGTAGAGGAATTGCTGGTTTAAATGGGATTTCCAGTCCAACTTTTCTAAGGAACCTCCACACTGATTTCCATAACGGTTGCACCAGTCTACATTCCCACCAGCAGTGGAGAAGAGTTCCTTTTTCTCCATAGCCATTCCAACATTTGTTGTTGGGTGATTTCTTTATGATAGCCATTCTTTCTGGGGTGAGATGATATCTCAATGTTGTTTTAATTTGCATTT